ACAATTAAAATTTCATTAAATTTTTTCTTTAAATTTAACATATATTCTTCAAAATTTTGTAGAATATATGTAAAAAGCAGTTGAGAATTGATGTTTTTCTGTACCAATTGAATTACTATTATCAGAATTTGTCAAATAGAAATAATCTTCATTGGAAGAGTTTGCATAAATTTGTTATTAATATCTTACCTCAGTGATAAATGTACATTTATTGCAATAAATGTATAAATATAATTTATTATAATAAATATTACAGTAACTATTGTAATATTACGCTAATTCTTAATTGAACAATACTAGGTAATTGAACACCTAAGAAGCCTTTAGATTCCTATTCTTTGAAATGATCTTTTACCTAACTGAGTTATTGTTACAATAGGTAATATAATTACTAAACAAAATTTTGTGTTTAATATAGAACCACAGTTTATAATACTTTTCAGTCCCTTTTTTTACAGAAATCATTATATCATTGTCAGTTTTAAACATTTTCTACTTGAATTACTTTTTAAGAAAGTATGATTTCAATAATATTTACACAAAAACAGTGAATGCAGTCAAAAAGATTTTTCAGAGGAATTTTTCATATGATGATAATTTTCAAAATATTCTATAATTTATAAAAAAAAAAAACAAAAATGGAAATATTCCAAATTTAAGAATGTAGAATTATTTAAATAAAAAAAATTTTTTTTAAGATCTTTTCAGATAGGAAAATGACTGATTAAGGTAAGAAAAATAAAGATTGATAGCTGAAAATGTTAGTGTTTTTTATATGAATTTGCTAATTTAAAAAATTNTTTTTATACTTGATACATTTTATCATAGGAAAGAAAGCGGTTTTATCCTATTGGAGCCGTCAGGAACATTGACACTTTTTGAATCATTTAAAGATATCAATAGTTTGAGAATTTATATTTTGTGCCATTTTAAAGTCTTGTATTTAGAGGCCTAAGAATATTATTACAAAAGCATTTATTTCGATGCATTTCTTAACTATTAATTAAGAAAAAATCCTTTATTTTTTGTCATAGGGTCTCAAAAATTTAAACGGGTCGAGCCTCCCTCCACTTTGAGAAGCACCGAAGAGAAATATACAAATAATTTATTTAATATTATGCAAGAAAAATGTATATATTTTTATATTTTAATAATATTATTATGAATTTTATATATTCTAGAACAATTTTAAAAAGGCTTTACACTTAAATATATAAAGATAAAATGCAAAATTTGTCGCTTGATACAAGATAATTTGATGATTTATTTAAAATATGAAATTTTCCGAGTTTTTAGAAATCCATATATAATTTGTAATTTCTGTAATGATATATTGTTATGTATATTAAGACACTTAAGAAATGTAATATCTAAAAATAAAATTTCTGTAATGATATATTAAAGTAAGTGAAAATCTTAAGACTTTTTGCAGTTGTTACGTTTAAAAATAGTAAATTCATAAGGGTTAAAAAGCCGTTCTGTTAAAATACATTAGACATAAAATAGAACAAATCAGATTACTTAAATTGATACTTTCAGCATTATCACTGTTTATGTTAGCAATTAAATATCATTCTGTTATATTATTAAATACTTTATTATTGCTTTGTCACAATTTTAATTATTTTTTTATTTAATTTTGCATGCAGTTGATCAAGTATCCTTTTTGAGGAATTGTAAATTTAATAAACTACTACTTGATTTATAAAGTGATAAATATAAATAACTGTTAAAGAAAAGTGTAAATTCTTAAAATTTATTCAGTTGAAAAAAAGAAATTGGACTGATTTGGATGACATAATGGTTAATATATTTGTTTAATAAATGAAAAGATTTGAGCAATAGAATACATACACAGAATTTCTAGAATACATTTTATATATATGTAGATGGAACAAAGAGAAAATACACAGAAACATACTTCAACTTCACTATATGAACATTGTATAATTTATTTAAATATAGTATTTCTTCGATATTTTGACTCCATCTTGAATAAATTATGAAGGAGAAAAGTTGCTTATATTTTTAAAAGTTAAACAAATTTATTATTAGACTGAATGTTTAGAATTATTTTATTCCATCTTCAGCTTGATTACAAAATTAAAATGATTTGTAAAGTTTTAAAGAGAAATACTTTTTTTAAAAGATTTGCCTTCAACTGTTAAGGTAACGACCTAAAACAGGCTGAGAACATTTCTTTTGTCCAATAAAAAATATTGCTATCTGAAAAAGCAGTTTAAATTTTTGTCAGGTTAACTGATCTGTATCTAAATGTTTAACTGAAAAATAAATATGATAACTTTTTAATACATTTTTAAATATAATTATAATATTTTTATATTGATTATTTTTTTAAATATGAATATTATACATTTACACTAATGATACTGAATATGTATAAAAATACAGTAGACTCTGCTTATTGTAATCAATAATGACTCCTAATCTCAAAATCACTAGCAGCATTAATAGAAAAGTTTTGCATTAATAATGAAATCTGTCTTTTTCTTTTTGCAACATCCATTATAGTCTTTGCAATGCTTTCTCTTAATAGTTACATAATTTTCTTCTGGTTTTGAAATTTTTGTCTCATTTTATTAAATTTGTTCTTTTGAATTTAAAAATGTTTACACTATTTCTTGAGATGTTCTTATTTTCTGTAATCTTTCACTCAAAAAAAAAAAAAAATAAAGAGGATAATAATTGACCAATAAAATTTCCTTTTTGACTATGAGAAAATATCTTAAGTAGTAAATAATATTTTAAATTTTTATGCATTTACATATGCAGTCAAATAAGCTCAATTGATCTTCTCTTGCAAACTGCAAATTGTGCAAATAAATAAAAAAGTCTTAATAGCTTGCATTTGGTATGGTTGGTGTTTTTAGTATTGATTTTTTTGTAAAGGAAATGTTATCAAGTAAGTATTCATGTATTATATTATTGTTTGTTATATACATACAGTAAGCACTTTTTTTATTGTGATCACTGATTATTAGAATTAGGATTTCTCAAACAGGATCCTGGGATCTCGGTTGTTTTTTTTAACCCAGGAAATTCTTCTCATCCCAGGAAATCCTGCAAATTTCTTAAAAGTTCACTTTTTTCTTATTTTGTGTTAAGGGTGAGGAAATTTTGCAAATAGAAAGTATAATTAACTCATAAATGGTCAGAATACATTTGCATTTATTAATTTTAAACCTACTTATTAGTTTTTTAATTTTTGCTCGTTATGGCATATCACAAATGGTCAATAATCAATACGTAGCTTATTTGCGGCAGGACTCTGAAAATTCTTTACTTGTCAGAACCTGTAATATCTGGAATAATTGTGCTTATGCTGTCTTAATTTTTAACCATGCCCAGTAGCTTCAATAACTGCATAACACCAGGTTGTGCAAATTGGCAAGGATAGAAACAAGTATGAAGTCTGCAAGTATGAAGTTTTTCTTCATAAACTTGATTATTAAAGACAAATGAACTGCCGAATTATTGGGCTATAAGCTTGATGTTTCTATTAAAGCAGCTGAGGTAGACAAATCAGGAATACTAGAGAGCAAAAGAAATACTACACTCTCGAAAACAAACTAGAAATCTTCCAGGCTACAGGCAAAAAAACACATAACATGTGTTTAATGCATTTAAGAGAAGACTTTGGAGGTTGCAGCTGAGGTAGAGAAAAGTAATTTAATATCATTTGATTTCAAGATATTTTGTATATCTTAAAAATAATTCTATCCCAGGAAACAGTTCACTTTTTTCCCGAAATCCCAGAACAAGTAAAAGCAGGGAAATGAGAAACCCTAATTAGAATCAACAGCAAGGATTCACTCCAAACAATAAAATCTATTGCATTTAAGTCAATTATTAGAATCATTTCTTCTTTGTAATATCACCATGCGCTTTGAAGGGTGTGGTGATATTTCGAATTGACGCCTTTAATTGTATCTTTCCACTGCTCCCAGTGTTGTGCCATGTGGATGGCTTCACACATTGTATGTCCTGTAATCATCATTACTTGGTCTGACCACCTAATCAGACATCTGTCTCTAGGCCATTTGCCATTGATCTTTCCTTCTAGGATTTGTTTCTCAAATCCATTTTTGCATCTGGAAATATGTCCTAAGAAGCAAAGGTAGGATTGGTATATTTTAGTGGTAAGGTGTGTTGTGATTTTCAGTTGATTTAGGATGGAGCTATTTGTTCAGTGCTCCATCTAAGAGATTCTCAGCATTCTTCTGTATGTCCATATTTCAAAGGAATGAAGTTTTCTTCCAAGAAGTGGCATTTATGGTCCAGGTTTCTGAGGCATAAATGGCAATCAGAAAAATAAGCTTTCTTATGAGCTTTTGATTGCAGAGTCTTTCCAAATTCTAAGTAATTTAGAGGTTGCATTGCGAGCAAGGCAAATTTGGCATTTAATTTCATTAGCGCATTTTCCTTTATTTGTAAGAAGTGATCCAAGGTAAACAAATTCATTCACCACCTTATAGCCTGCAATTTCCTTAGTCTGTGTCAAGGAACGATCAATTATTATAACTTTCGTTTTACTTCCATTAATCAGCAATCCATATTCCCTACTCTCAGTTTCAAGATGTTTCATAATATATTCAAGTTCTGATTCATTGGATGCTATAATAAGTGTATCATCAGTGTATCTCACGTTGTTAACTTTACAACCCCCAATGGAAATGCCTCTGTCCCAGTTATATAATATCCTTCTCATGATTATTTCAGAATAAGTATTAAAGAGTAAAGGGGAAAGAATATATCCCTGTCTTACATCAGCTTCAGATGTAAATGTATTAGACATAGTTTTGTTAACTCTTACTCTTGCAGAGTTATTCTCATATAAATTTCTGATCATTGAAATAAGATGGCACGGGACTTCCATGTTCTGGAGAATAGGCCATAATTTGTGCCATTTTACACAATCAATGGTTTTGGTATAGTCTACGAAACAAAAGTAAGCTTTAACTTAAATTCATACTTTTTCAATGATTTGTCGAGCGTTCAAGATTTGTTCACAAGTTCCTTTGCCAGGAATAAACCCCGACTGTTCTTCAGCTATTTCAGGTAATAGGAAAGGTTTCAAACAGTTATTAATTATTTGGAGCATTACTTTACTGGCATGATTAATTAGGCTGATAGTTCTGTAGTTATTACAGTTTGTTGGTGCACCTTTTTTTATAAATTGGAATAAATATTGATTTACACCATTCCTCTGGCCATCTCTTAGATTTCCAAATTAAGGAGCAGATTTTATGAAATATGTCAACACTCAGTTCTTCCATTGTTTTTAAATTTTCAGAAGTTATGTTGTCAGGTCCCAGAGCTTTTTGATTTCTTAATGTATTTATGGCTTTTTCTACCTCTGATTTAAGAATAGATGGTTCAACTTCCTCTGTCCATCCATTCTGAAGTTGATTATTACCATTTGTTTGTCCAGTGTCTTTATAAAGTTTCTCACAATACTCCCTCCAGACATCCACAATCCCTTCCACATCAGTTATGATTTAATTTTCATCATTTTTAATTGTGTGCGTGGTTTGAACTCTCTTGCTAGATATCTAACTTTATCATATAGTTCACAAGTCTGATTTATTATTTGCATGGACTTCAATTTCATTGCATATACTGTCAATATATTCATTTTTGTCTTTCTTACATGCCTTTTTTAATTTTTTTTGTCTAGCTCTTTCTTCTTTTCATCTGCAATGATTGCTGAAGTTAATAATTTTTTCCTTTTCATCTATTAATTCAAGGGTGCTATTTGTCATCCAATGTTTCTTTTTCTGCAGTCAATGTTGTGTGGTGCATTGTTGTACTCCAGTTAAAATCCAACTTTTTGTTTGTGTCAGTAAATCATCTGGGTTGTTTGTAAAGGATGAAGGGTCTAAATTTCAGAGTGTCTGTTGTAAGATTGAAGTAGCTGGAGTCTCAAGTCTTGGATTTATCTTTGATATTTTTGTTGTATGGAGTTTTAATGTTAGTTTCGCTTTTTAATAGCTTATGATCAGAGTTGCAGAATGCTCCAGGTCTTGCTCTGACATTATTTAATGATGATCTCCATCTTGTTCTTATTGACACGTAATCAATTTGGTTTTTATATTCACCTGTTGGGGAGGTCCAAGTAGAAAGACTCCAATAATGGTGTTAGTTATTGAAAAACTGTTATCGATTACAAACTGAAGGAGTCTATTTACTCTCTCATTTCTGGTGTCCAGTCCAAATTGTTCTATAATGCACCATAGATTATCAGCATTTTTTGTATTGCCTATCTTAGCATTAAAATCTCCCATTATTATCAATATGTCCTTCTGTGGTATTTTTGTCATGATATTTTCAATTTGTATATACACTGAGTCCACTTCATCATCCAAAGCAACCGAAGTAGGCATACAAACCTGAATAATATGAAGTTTTATATTAGAATCATACCATTGAATATTAAAATTGATTTGATTAGTACTTTTTATTAAGTAGTAAATTGATCTGATAGCATTACTTAGTATTTAGACCTTAAAACTAGGTTGTGCATGGGGTCTCCAAATGTTTGATATGCCACTGATTGTATCTGATATGAAGTGCAAGAATTTATTAAAACTATAACTTTTAGAATCTGCCAACTTGTCTTTATTTGAATTTTGTTACTTTGTAAAGTTAAAGTTGTTAAAATTTTGATCAAAATTAAGAAGTACATATCAAAATCATTTAATTATACTGTAGAACCCCTCTAATCCGTCACCTTTGGGAAGCAAAAAAGGTCGGATTATCAGAAAAAAGTAAAATAAACAATCTTCCCCTTTGTCCAGTCTTTGTAGCACTGCTAATTTTTCATTTAATGAAAGAGTAATGTGTTTACGTTTCACTCCTGACATGTTGAAAACACACACAAAACTGTACATGTACACACAATGTAAAACATATACTGTAACGAACACAGAAAAATGCCCCGGATGGTGAGTCACCGACGAGTTGGGACAAGTTTCTCGACTCTGACCACGGTCGGATTAACCGGAGTGACGGACTAGCTGAGGGCGGACTAGAGGGGTTCTACTGTACTTCAGTTTTGAAAATTACAAGCTGCAGATATCATTATAAATTTGCATTATATATACAATAAATGTATTGGTTATATTTTAAAATTATGACAAAATTTTAATGCTAAAAAAAGATTGATTTATGTATGTATTTATAACATATTGAAATATCTTTCATAATCAAAATTTTGTTATTTTATATAATTTTTGAAATATTTTTTTGTTAGAAAAAACTTCAAATATTGAAACCATTGAACAAATTTCTATTACTACAAATGGTTTGCTGTTAAATAAGCACCTTCCAGCTTTAAAAAAAGCAGGTAATTTAATTGATTTGTATTTTAATTTAATCATTTTGATATAAGTATCACATTTTACTGACAATAAGATGTTTACTTTTATTTTTTATATTTGTATTGATTGAATAGGACCATAATTTTGGGCAGATAATCCATAGATTATCTGTTTTAAAAGACAATTTGAATGCAGGTTTGGGTTATGCAATGGGATGGGCTATACAGTGGTGTGTTGTACTGTACCTCAAATTTAATTCATTTCAACAGGTCATTTAAACTCTGAATTGTTCAAAAGTTCCAGTAGTAAAATAAATCTTTAACATTTTCAAAACAAATAAAACAAAAGTTTTAGAATACTATTAAACAGCTAGATCATTTAATTCATCATGTCCACCATATAAAGAAACATATTTTTTTGAATGAATTGGTTATGTAGGAATAAAAATGTTTTTATTATATTACACCATTTTTGTTTAATTTCTCAAATAAATAACAATAAATTTTAAAACAAACTGAAGCTTAATTTGTACATAGAGTGAATTGTAAGTGTAAAGAAAAATGAATATTGCATCAACAATGACATTCTTTCTGACAAATTTTTGTTTTGCAAACCATGATTACATGTTAACATGTTGAACTTTATCACTAGTGAAAACTATTCACCACTAACCAAAAGGATGAATTTCTGGAGATAAAGAAGAGAGAAATTTACATACAACAACTATGACAAATATACTTTCTAATTATATTCTTACAATTAACTTCTTGATAACTGGATCAATGAATAAGTACATTAAACAAAACCTTTACCATCCATTAAATAATTTTAAAGAGAATTCAACAAATGTTTTCAGTCTTACACAAGATTGCTTCAGATCGACAACATTCTAAATTGTATGCACAGAACTTCTGCACATTCCAATTATAATTCATATTGAAATTATTTACTGGTTTTTAAACGTTTTATCTGATATACTTATTTATACAATTATTATAATTAATTTTGAAATGTTCTTTTCTATAAATAAATGTACTAAGTAAACATACAAAGTAAAAAACAAATTATTGTTATCAGCTGCCATCTTGTTTTAACAATGATTTTTGTTGTTTGCATAAGATTGCTCATTTCACTGTTCTTTGTTTTGTGAAACAGTAGTAGGTATCCAATTTTCTATGCAAAAATAGATTTTTTCACATTGTTTTTTTACTAACAAATGTGTATTTTGAACTAAGCTTGGCATTCTCAGCTGAGCAATTGACTAGAACCTGTCATTGGATGTTATAGACATGAAAAATATACTTAGAAAAAATTTAATAAAATACTATAATAATAAATTTTAATGTTTAATTGAAAAGAACATAGAATAGAAATGAAGCAATATGTTGATAAATTTTATCATTTAGTAGGAATTCATATCTTCCATATGTACAGTGTAGGTTTCCTTTCAGTATTCCTTTTTATAAGAAACTAAACTCTTCTTAAACACCACAGGAAAATATACTTTCACAAAAACCTTTGTAACTCCAGTGATACTTGCTTTATACATCAGCGCACGTTTTCGACCCCATCCGGGTCTTCATCAGGCTATGTTTATGAGGAATTTGAATGCGTATGGAACAGAACATTAAAACGAACTTTAAGCGATTCAAAATTTCAAAAAACAAACTTAAGAACAAAGACTGAACGTTGTGCACGTTCAACCACTCGTTTGCATTAATTCCAGGGATGCAGTCGGGATATCGGACGTGTGGAAGTTTTGTTATGAGGGAAACCACCCCCGTAACTGATTTGTTGAATTTCCTATTTTTGGTTGTGTTCGCCGTTTCGCAAACGAGTGGTTGCATGTGCGCAACGTTCCATGTTTATTCTTAAGTTTGTTTTTCAAAATTTTGAATCGCTTAAAGTTCGTTTTAATGTTCTGTTCCATACGCATTCGAATTCCTCATAAACATAGCCTAATAAAGACCCGGATGGGGTCGAAAACGTTTGCTGATGTATAAATCAAGTATCACTGGAGTTACGAAGGTTTTTGTGAAAGTGTATTCCTTTTTGTAATAAAGAACAAAAAGGAATACTGAAATGAGTTTTTTAGTTTTTATTTCTGAAAATACTGTTCAGTCCCATTTCAACATTTGTAAATAAGGAATTCAGCCAGAATTTTTACTATCAAATCCAAGTGATGTAAAACAAATATAACAGGATTAAATATGTCAGTTTTCTTTTTGTTTTCTTAAACTATTCCTAAATAGCAATAGATTAAATTTATTATTGTATACAAGTTTTCAGTATTAGTGTTTAGATTAATGAAGTAGATATGTCATTAATTCGTTCGAGACTGCATACTATTAATACCAAAAAGACTTATTAAGACACCTTATCTTGCAGCCAAAGTTTATTACTTCAAACAAATTTGGTCATGTTAAATGACCTTTCTCAAGAAAAAGAAATAAGAGAAAGCAAAATAAAAGATAAAAAACTGTATAAATCGAATGCTTTGTTCGTTTGTACTAAACATTCGATTTATACAGTTTTTTATCTTTTATTTTTCTTTCTCTTATTTCTTTTTCTTGAGAAAGGTCATTTAACATGACCGAAAACGTTTGAAGTAATAAACTTCGGCTGCGAGATAAGGTGTCTTAGTAAGTCTTTTTGTACATGTCATTAAATCAAAAACTTAAAATATTCAAGTAGCACATTTTGGATACGAAAAAAAAGTTAGTTCAAAATTTAAAGTACAAATACATAGATATTAAAATATTTTCCTATATAATTATACATTTGAATAACAGAATACACAAAAATATATAAGAAATATAGAAAAATACATTTTTAACAAAATAAAAATATTCTACTCAGATATTTGAATATTTTGATAGTTAAAAAAATTTTTGAAGAGAGAAATTTACATACAACAACAATGACAAATATACTTTCTAATTATATTCTTACAATTAACTTCTTGATAACTGGATCAATGAATAAGTACATCAAACAAAACCTTTACCATCCGTTAAATAATTTCACTCAATGAGTGAAAAAACTTGGCTGGTTTTTTCACTCATTGAGTGAAAAAACCAGCCAAGAAGCAAAATTCACGTTGTGGCTTTCGTGATATTTGACCACTATGTATTGTGGTGATTAAGAAAAGCCATAACGCATTCTGAACGTTAGCCGATGCAATCACGATACAGGATCATATGACACACAGTGGTTTGTAACTTTAAAATATGGATTATAGGCTCGAAACATTTTTATTTACAATTTTTAATGCCGAACAACATTAGTTCTACAAGTTTTCCTAGAAATTTAATTTTCATACCTAAAAAATTTCAAAGAAATAAAATATATGGAGAAAAATACACTCTTGTTTCTTTTGTTTTGCTAAAAAGTGCTAAAGGTCTAATTACATATACTTGTAGGTGCTTGATATACCTATACACGATAAAATAAAAATCAGCTGCTAAAGTTAAAAATCACTGTGCAACGGATTTATTATGGTTAAAAGCCACTACACGTTCTGGATGTTAACTATAACGAGGTGATGATAAGAAAATAAAACTTTCTTTTTAATCATGATTTATTTATCTCCAATCATCTTATATACGCAGGTAACAAAATTATTCACCATATACAGAAATTTAACTTGGTTACTTTACAACAACATTTAATTATTCATGCATTTNTCATTAGACTGTTTTAATCTATAATAGAATTTTATCAGTCTTTTTAAATAAAACGGAAATAGTTGGAATCTGTTAGTTTCGGCACGAATTGCATAACCAGGAACTGTCCTTTCTATTTTATATAATTTTCGTAGGTAAATAACATGGAATTTTTCTAAATCGTACAATAAGTCTATTGCCCAAATAGGGCTTGCATAATATATTGAAGGGATAATTAAAAGGTTGAATAATTTTATTTGTAATTTTATATCCGTCATTTTTAAAGTTGCACATAAATATATAGCATTATCCATCAAAGTATTTATTTTTTTAGTTAGATTTTTCAGATGCGGTTGAAAATTACAATTCCAATTAAATGATATTCCTAAATATTTTATATCATTTACCAAGGTAAGAAGTTGATTATTTAAATAGTATGACTTTTCTTGTTTTGGAAGTTTAACATTATTTCTAAATATTATTATTTTGGTTTTTGAGATATTAATCGTTAAAAACAGGGAATTCAGATAATTGTTTATTATATTTAATTTATGCTGCAAAGCTATTTTTGTTGGTGCAAGTAATACAAGATCATCTGCATATAATATATAGTGGTAGCTTCTTCCAAAAATTTGAACACCTTCAGTATCAAGTAGAAATAATTTATCAATATCATTCAAATAGAAATTAAACAAATATGGCGATAGCGGTTCTCCTTGTAATAATCCTCGGTTTATAATTAGTTCTGGGAATATCTGATTAGCATGGCTAATGTTGATTCTATAATTTAAAAATAATTTCGCAATTGAGTTTGAAAATTTTTTTCCTGAGCCACACAGTTTTAATTTATTTATCAAAGTTGGAACATGAACTGAATCAAAGGCTTTTGATATATCGATAAAAGCAGAATATATTTTCCTGTGTTTTTGTAATAAGTAAATTTGTATTATTGATAATAAGAAGAATAATGTCATTTCTGTTCCTTTTGTTTTTATAAATGCGAATTGAAATTTTGAGTTTAAATTATATTCTTCAGTCCATCTTTGGAATCTTAGTGCCAGTATAGAAGTAAAGCATTTTCGTAAAGTTGATAGTAATGCGATTGGTCTGTAATTTCCTGGATCTTTTCTGTCTCCTTTTTTATANTACAATTTTTAATGCCGAACAACATTAGTTCTACAAGTTTTCCTAGAAATTTAATTTTCATACCTAAAAAATTTCAAAGAAATAAAATATATGGAGAAAAATACACTCTTGTTTCTTTTGTTTTGCTAAAAAGTGCTAAAGGTCTAATTACATATACTTGTAGGTGCTTGATATACCTATACACGATAAAATAAAAATCAGCTGCTAAAGTTAAAAATCACTGTGCAACGGATTTATTATGGTTAAAAGCCACCACACGTTCTGGATGTTAACTAATAACAAGGTGATGATAAGAAAATAAAACTTTCTTTTTAATTATGATTTATTTATCTTCAATCATCTTATATATGCAGGTAACAAAATTATTCACCATATACAGAAATTTAACTTGGTTACTTTACAACAACATTTAATTATTCATGCATTTTATGCTCTTTGAGCCAAATTTGCATTTTTATCAATACAGTATCTTTTACAGTGACACATTATAAACCCTCGCATACTTCCAGATGTTAAGATGGATGCTGAGCGAAGTGTTAATAAAGTTGAGGGTGCGTTCTGAATGTTAATAAAGTTACTGCAGAAATTGTAAATTCATTATGAGCATAAAGTCAATCAAGAAGACTTTTCTTGTTTCCTAACTGATAGAGACCTGATGGATTAATGCTCATAACAACAGCTAAAACATTTCTGGGAGCTGCACGTTTCCTATCAACATTAGGCACCCTAACTAAAACAATCTAACAATTTCAACTGCAGAAAATTACCCTAAATTGAGAAAACTCTCTGAGCTCAAGCTTGAATAAAAAAAAAATAAATAAATAAATAAGACGAATGATTCTATGACGCAGATCCCTGTACTATCATTGTGAAATAATAATCGGAACAATTCTTAATTCATTGTTTTTGAAAATTTTAATAACTAAAATGTCTTAGGATTTTTAGGCTTTATCAGAGGTATTAATTTACATCTGATATGGAGAGTGCCAATGGCTCAATGGTATGAAGGTTGAGAAAAGAGAAATCTTACTTGGGTGTAATATACAGTAATACCTCGGTTTTCGTTGACTTTGGTTATTGTTGGTTTCGGATTTCGCAGATTGTTTTCGGACGGATTATCGACAAAAACCGAAGTATCACTGTACAGTGTACACCCATGTACAGTACCTAGCATCAATCTGCATTATTTCTTTAGCTTCTGTTGTCCTATTCTAAAACCCTCCAGTTATAGGGGAAAACAAAGTGGTTTTAGGCTAAAACTTTTTCCAGTGAAACTTGTTGAATGATGAGTAATACAGAACATGGTAGTTTTACTGTAGATTTACCCTAAATATAAGACTACTCAGAACATTACTCTGAGAGATTGAAATTATTCTAGAAAAGGGCAATTACCCAGAAACGGCAGCACTGGTCAAGAATGAACACAATAGAAACTCTGCAAGTGTTTGCAATGCATCTGTTGACAAGTTACAATTTACCTTTTGTATTGTGATTGCATCAGCTAATGTTCAGAACACGTTATGGCTTTTCTTAATCACCATAACACGTAGTGGTCAAATATCATGAAAGCCACAACTTGAATTTCACTTTGTGGTCATTTTGAGTTAGCTACAATGTGAATTTTGCTTTGTGGCCATTTTTACAAACAGCCACGACATGAATTTCGCTTCATGACCATTTTGAAATGACCACAACGCATTGTGGTCATTTTTCTTTTCGCTCAAAGAGCGATTTTGGTCTTTGAACCTAACATACAAGAATACCCATAAACAAGTTATTTATTATTTCTAACTGCTTACTATTTTACAGCAATCTCATGCTGATTTAATTTCATTTGTTGTTTAATTACAGAGGTAAATTATTTTCTGAAAAAGTCAAATTTGCTGACTGGAAAAATAATTGGGAGGCACAATGACCCCATGTATACTCATCAATATGTTGCTGCTTCTGTTATACATTAACTATTGTTAAAGACATTAATAGGAGAACAATACTGGATGAATTATATATTAATCCATTAGGTTACATTATATGTTAATTAATAAAGATTGCATTATAATAATTATTATATTATCAAATATAATTAAGTTATACATTTTTTAATTGTTTTATTGTGTTTTAAAATTTCAGTCAATGAAACTAGAATTTCACTTCTATGCATTCAAAGCTAGAACTACTTAGAATAAGTAAGACAAAACCTTTCACACCTACTTACTTACTTAAAACTAGAATTCCTGCTAATAAATAATTTTATTTGCTTACACTGATTAATGTTAAAAGTTGGTTATTCAAAATGATTACAGTATGCAGATTCTATTATATTTAGAAAAAACTATATTAAAACATTAATGTATTTTAATCTTGCAATAAAAACATAAGGCATATATATTGTAAACTGTAAGAATTGAGGATAATAAATGGTACTTTCACTGATGATAAAAAAAATAATACTTTTATCACAAAAGATTAAAGTTATAAAGTGTTTTTTGTAATTCTAATTTTTAAAAAAATCAGGAAATAATTATGTTATTTATAGTAATTATTATTTTCTTTCTTCAAATAAAATCTCTTTTTAATATATTTTTCAGGTTTGAAAGCTATAAATATTAGCCTAGATACTTTAATTCCTGAAAAATTTGAATTAATAACACGTCGCAAAGGTTGGGAAAGAGTTATGAAAAGTATTGATGCATCATTGGATTTTGGATACATTCCTATAAAGGTTTGTTATACAGTAATACCACGAACTTACACGATAGGTGGGACCGAGCGATAACCGCGTAAGTCGAATTCGCGTAAGTTGGGGTATAATTTCACAATTTGTGTAAAATTCAAGTCGAATGTATGTAAGCTAATAAATGTTCTCACTAATCTTTTCTCGTCTTTTGATTCATTCACAGTTACAAGAAATCACCACATAGTCTCTCAAGTCTCTGTAGATGTAACAAACACAGAAATAGTTACAATTTATTTTGTGTTATTTATGTGTCGATTCCGCACATCATGTTTGAACATGTAAGCTGAACAATAGTGTGGGGGGAGTGAGTAATCAAGAGTTGCGTGGCGCTCAAACAAAAGACGAATCAACGAGATTTGAAAATCGCGTAACTCCGGGTTCGCATAAGTCGAGGTATTACTGTATTTTAATGAAGACTAACTTCTTTGTTAATTGTTGTTTTTTTCTGAGACCTCAATATTATTTTTAGCTGTTGTTCAAGACAATATAATATATATTTAAAAAAAACTAGATTAAAGATTTACTGTATAAAACAAATGTAAATTTTCAATTAAAATTAGTTAAATTTTGATTATAACTTCTTACATTATTTAATTACAGATAAAAAAAAATCCTTGTTTTCATATTAGTTGTTTGTTTTTTTATAATACTATAATAGGAGCTTATTATTAATAATAATTCATATTTAATACATATAAAAATATATAGGATTAGATAAATGCTTTTTGGGTTTTTCCTTGTAAATGTTAAGAATGTTGTAAGAGAGACAAAGTAAAAATTTCACTGAATTTTGTACATTATTTGTGTGAAAAATTGTTTTGCAATAACACCACCAAAATTTTAGAAAGATTTAATGTATTTTTTCAATTCTAAGATGCACTTTTTCACCCATTTTTAATTGTCTGTAGTAGAAATGCATTTTAGAATTGATAGTATCTATCTTACATTTACTGTACAAAACAACTGATAGTTGCTACAAGTAGACCACATGGTGCATGAATTTCGGTTTTTCAGTTATAGTTGCTCGGTGTTTGCATCAGTTGAAATGAACTTTGCTGGTAATAAGCATTTAATTTTAACTCATTTTTAACATTTAAAATGCATTCAAGATGACATTATGATGTAATTAAGGATGCATTAAAATGAATAATTATTTGTTTTCTTCTAGTACTACATGAAAAGAGCATAGAAGTAGCAATGCTGAACATTACTTGTTTCATGATAGTTGCATTATTTTTCTAACTTGTTACTTAATAAAACTTACTAAAATTGATTATATAAAAATTTTTCCTTTATAAATAAAAGCTTAAAATTTGATTTTGAAACTAATGCTATATCTTAGAATCAAGAAAATGCAATAATAAAATTATTTTGCTGTTTTCAAATTTTTTGTATTAAGTTTGAATATATTCTGTATAATTATTATCTCAAACTTTAATATATAATTTTAATATTTCTGTATTTGTATATTTGAAGATTAATTGTGTCGTAATAAAAGGTATTAATGAAGATGAATTATGTGATTTTGTATATTTAACTAAAAATAAAATGTTCAATATTTAATTATATATGAACACAAATCTACCCAATATTAAAAAACTTAGCATTACTTAATAAAACTTTAAGTTATACATTTTTTAATTGTTTTATTGTGTTTTAAAATTTCAGTCAATGAAACTAGAATTTCACTTCTATGCATTCAAAGCTAGAACTACTTAGAATAAGTAAGACAAAACCTTTCACACCTACTTACTTACTTAAAACTAGAATTCCTGCTAATAAATAATTTTATTTGCTTACACTGATTAATGTTAAAAGTTGGTTATTCAAAATGATTACAGTATGCAGATTCTATTATATTTAGAAAAAAACTATATTAAAACATTAATGTATTTTAATCTTGCAATAAAAACATAAGGCATATATATTGTAAACTGTAAGAATTGAGGATAATAAATGGTACTTTCACTGATGATAAAAAAAATAATACTTTTATCACAAAAGATTAAAGTTATAAAGTGTTTTTTGTAATTCTAATTTTTAAAAAAATCAGGAAATAATTATGTTATTTATAGTAATTATTATTTTCTTTCTTCAAATAAAATCTCTTTTTAATATATTTTTCAGGTTTGAAAGCTATAAATATTAGCCTAGATACTTTAATTCCTGAAAAATTTGAATTAATAACACGTCGCAAAGGTTGGGAAAGAGTTATGAAAAGTATTGATGCATCATTGGATTTTGGATACATTCCTATAAAGGTTTGTTATACAGTAATACCACGAACTTACACGATAGGTGGGACCGAGCGATAACCGCGTAAGTCGAATTCGCGTAAGTTGGGGTATAATTTCACAATTTGTGTAAAATTCAAGTCGAATGTATGTAAGCTAATAAATGTTCTCACTAATCTTTTCTCGTCTTTTGATTCATTCACAGTTACAAGAAATCACCACATAGTCTCTCAAGTCTCTGTAGATGTAACAAACACAGAAATAGTTACAATTTATTTTGTGTTATTTATGTGTCGATTCCGCACATCATGTTTGAACATGTAAGCTGAACAATAGTGTGGGGGGAGTGAGTAATCAAGAGTTGCGTGGCGCTCAAACAAAAGACGAATCAACGAGATTTGAAAATCGCGTAACTCCGGGTTCGCATAAGTCGAGGTATTACTGTATTTTAATGAAGACTAACTTCTTTGTTAATTGTTGTTTTTTTCTGAGACCTCAATATTATTTTTAGCTGTTGTTCAAGACAATATAATATATATTTAAAAAAAACTAGATTAAAGATTTACTGTATAAAACAAATGTAAATTTTCAATTAAAATTAGTTAAATTTTGATTATAACTTCTTACATTATTTAATTACAGATAAAAAAAAATCCTTGTTTTCATATTAGTTGTTTGTTTTTTTATAATACTATAATAGGAGCTTATTATTAATAATAATTCATATTTAATACATATAAAAATATATAGGATTAGATAAATGCTTTTTGGGTTTTTCCTTGTAAATGTTAAGAATGTTGTAAGAGAGACAAAGTAAAAATTTCACTGAATTTTGTACATTATTTGTGTGAAAAATTGTTTTGCAATAACACCACCAAAATTTTAGAAAGATTTAATGTATTTTTTCAATTCTAAGATGCACTTTTTCACCCATTTTTAATTGTCTGTAGTAGAAATGCATTTTAGAATTGATAGTATCTATCTTACATTTACTGTACAAAACAACTGATAGTTGCTACAAGTAGACCACATGGTGCATGAATTTCGGTTTTTCAGTTATAGTTGCTCGGTGTTTGCATCAGTTGAAATGAACTTTGCTGGTAATAAGCATTTAATTTTAACTCATTTTTAACATTTAAAATGCATTCAAGATGACATTATGATGTAATTAAGGATGCATTAAAATGAATAATTATTTGTTTTCTTCTAGTACTACATGAAAAGAGCATAGAAGTAGCAATGCTGAACATTACTTGTTTCATGATAGTTGCATTATTTTTATAACTTGTTACTTAATAAAACTTACTAAAATTGATTATTTAAAAATTTTTCCTTTATAAATAAAAGCTTAAAATTTGATTTTGAAACTAATGCTATATCTTAGAATCAAGAAAATGCAATAATAAAATTATTTTGCTGTTTTCAAATTTTTTGTATTAAAAGTTTGAATATATTCTGTATAATTATTATCTCAAACTTTAATATATAATTTTAATATTTCTGTATTTGTATATTTGAAGATTAATTGTGTCGTAATAAAAGGTATTAATGAAGATGAATTATGTGATTTTGTATATTTAACTAAAAATAAAGTAAGTAAATGAAAGTAACAATTGACTAAATATATATGAATAAGATATATTAAGAATTTTACATATTGTTAATGATATTTTATTAGAAAATTGATGTCAGATTTATTGAATATATGCCTTTTGATGGAAATAAATGGAATGATAAAAAAATGATATCCTATTTTCAAATGTTAAATGATATAAGAAAATCATTTCCTACTGTAGAAAGATTAAAAGATGGGCCAAATGACACCTCTAAGGTTAGTATATTTCCCTGTAAGGAAGATTTGAATAATTTATTTTATTATTTACATAAATTATATTGCAATAGATTTGTTAAATAGCATCTGTTAAAAATATATGTTTTTGCATTGATTTTTTTTATAAAATTTATAATTCATTTCTTTATTTTATAGGCCTATAAAATTTCTGGTTGGATGGGGCAATTTGGATTTATTTCATCAATGACTGAAAATTTCTGTGGTTCTTGCAATAGGATTCGTCTCACAGCTGATGGGAATTTAAAGGTTTTCAAAATGCTTGAATGTTTATTTTGTATTAATTTTAATATTTCAAAGTTTTAAAGTCAAATTGTTACCAAACAATTTGTCAATTTTTTTTTTATTAGGCTATATTAAAGATAACTAATAATCAGACACAAAGTAATTTGTCTAGAGACAGGCAATTAAGCTGCTATCTCATGATAAATTTAATTATTACAAATAAATTAACTTATTATCTTCCAGAATATTCTAAATTATATCAGTCCAGAGTAGGACCAAACCCACAACTCTTGCTTACCATGTATTTGCATTACCAATTACACTATCCAGACCTTTATCTAATCTTCACTTCCAGGACTATTAATTAGTTAATTAATTTAGATATAATCACACTGGTTCATTCACTTAATAGCTCTGAAAGAGAAGATTGTATAGAGATCTGAGTAGCATAACAAGACAACACAGTTGCATGGTAAGCAAGAGTTATGGTTNGAAAAAATTTTGAAAAATTGATAAAAATTGTTTTTAATAAAAAAAAATGATATTTTGTAATTAATAATTTTTGAGAACATTTTATGATCATACTTGATCATAATATGTTCAAATAATGCCACCAAAGTGCCTCACAAAACAATGAAAAAATATGATTAATATTGCTTAGAATAATTTAATATAATATACCTTTAGAATATGTAGCATAGTATACATACTGTGTCGTCCTCGTATAGATTGTCGGTTTCTGTCGTTAAAAAAAATTTTTTTTTGTTTTCTTTTGCTTATGTTTATCTTTGTGTATATATACATATTTTGCCAATGTAATTACTGTAAACAATTATCACAATTGCTGTACACACAATTTTTTTTTGTGTTTTGGGCAGTTTTTGTAAGGCAGCACAGTGTTGGTGGTGGAGATGTTATATATGGTGGGGAACCGGAAACCCGATATTCTGGTTCTTGGCATTCGAGTGGGAAGGCACTTCGTTCGAGTGTATTGTGTGGACTCTTTGTGTAAGCCGCCAAGTGCCAGGCCTACGCAGACCTTTTCGTATTGTAATCTGGTATATATATTTGGTACATAAAATTAATTTAATCCTGTATTGTACTCATCTCCTCCTTTCGTGGTAATCATTTTTATTCACCCCTGCAAATATCATCCCACAGATATTCGCAGATTCCCACAATACGAGGGCTGTTCGGAAAGTTCGCGGCCTTGCCTATATGCGGCGCTGCGATCAATTTAATTTTTGGCGGGAATAATTCAGCCATCTTTGCTAAAGATACGATACCAATTTCCGCTTGATTTGTCAAAAAGTTTTGCCATGACAGCTTAGCAGATAGTCAGTGTGCACATGCTTTGTCAAAAATGGAGAAGACGGAGACTCGTGCGGTCATAAAATACCTGACGAAAAAAGGGTTGACCCCATCTCAAATCAAAGCTGACATGGATGAAGTTTTAGGAGAGTCTGCTCCTTCGTACACCACTGTGAAAAAATGGACAGCCCTTTTTAAATCTGGCAGAGAAAGTGTGGAAGATGACCCTCGCAGCGGACGGCCGTCAACTGCTGTCACTGAAGAAAACATCGACAAAGTTCACGATTTGGTATTAGCAGATCGCCGTTTGAAAACGCGTGAGATAGCTGAGACAACAGGCATCTCTGTCGACCGAGTGCACCACATCCTAACCGAAGATTTGGGTATGACGAAGGTCTCAGCAAGGTGGGTGCCGCATCTGCTGACCGCCGAGCAAAAACGTGTTCGCACTTTGATGTCAAAGGAGTGTTTGGACTTCTACCAGAAAAACCCACAGGATTTCTTGCGTCGGTTTGTGACTACTGACGAAACGTGGATCCATTACTACACTCCTGAAACAAAAGAACAGTCGAAGCAATGGAAACACCACAGTTCGCCACCACCAAAGAAGGCAAAGACAGTTCCATCAGCGGGTAAAGTGATGGCCTCGGTTTTTTGGGATGCTAAAGGCATCATCTTTATTGACTACCTAGAAAGAGGAAAGACCATTAATGCTGTCTATTACTGTGAACTTTTGGAAAAACTGAAGAAAGAAATCGAAGAAAAGAGGCCACACTTGAAGAAGAAAAAAGTTCTGTTCCACCACGATAATGCACCTGCACATTCCGCCAGAATCACTGAACAAAAGATAAACGAACTTCGCTTCCAATTAGTTCCACATCCACCGTACTCACCTGATTTGGCCCCCAGTGACTTCCACCTTTTTCCAAACCTAAAAAAATTCTTGGCTGGAAAGAGATTCCACTCAAATGACGAAGTCATCTCTGAAGTGAACGAGTATTTTGCACACCTTGACAAATCGACCTATTGTGATGGCATAAAAAAGCTAGAACATCGCTGGAATAAGTGCATTGCTAACAGAGGAGATTACATTGAAAAATAAAAAAAGTTTTAACATTATTTTGTTTGTTTTTCTATGTGAGGCCGCGAACTTTCCGAACAGCCCTCGTACAAACGGTTAAATGCAATATTTTAAGCTGAAGATGGTCAGAGATCTTGACCAAAAACATTTCTTTTTAATAAATGTTGGCTTCACTGCTCATTTCAACATTTCTTTACTTCTTTAGTATTATCCTTGAAAAATATATTATGTAAGGTAATAAAAAACTTAATAATTGAATGTGATATTTCACATAATATTTTTACAAATAATGATAAGTAAATAAACTAAATTTTAACCATTCTCTAAAGCTAAGTAAATTATGAAAACATATTTTTCATTTAATTTTAGTTAAATGTTTTATATTAAATTGCATAATATTTTCCACAGGTCTGTTTATTTGGTCCAAATGAAATATCATTAAGAGATGCTTTGCGTTCAGGTATATCTGAGAATGATTTGATTGACATCATTAAAAGTGCTTTGATAAAAAAGAAAAAACAGCATGCAGGTAATGTTTCTGTTAGAATTAAAATTATTGTTGCAATTTTAAAAACAGATTTTCATTATTTAACTAAATTAATTTATTATGTATATTTTAGGTATGTTTAATATTGCTAAACAGAAAAATCGACCAATGATTACAATTGGTGGATGAAGTGGCTTTAAGTGATTTTTAATGCTTAATATATTTTTCAAAGAAAATAATATATATATAATAATAAGTGTTTTCAAATAAAATTATATTTTTATACTGTAAATTAAATTTATAACTTAATTATTACTCTTGTGAATTGTATTTTTTATGAACATTTACACAATACAAATTAATACAAAAAACAATTATATAAATAATTATATATATATTATATAATTATAATTCAAAATGTTTACTTTACCCTAAATATAAACGTAGATGATCAGTGGAAAAGTAAATTATTTAATTTCATAACACAGAGTTGATGATATATGAAAAATATTAGCCATGAGTCAACTATCAGTTAATAATTATATTATCTGAATTTAATGAATTTTTTAAAAATTGGATTTGTTTTAATCATATTCCTTTACAAAAAAATTTTTGGAATTAGATCCCTTAGCCTAACTTAACCTAATAAATCATAAATATCAATTTATTTATCACAAAAATATTGGTGAAGGAATTCATTATAAAATACTAAATTATCTAAAGATGACCATTTCAAGCCAAACTGTTTGGATATTGCATTTTAAATCTTCTACATCTGAGTGTTATCACATATCTCTAGTTTAGAGAAATTTGGCCAGATGTAACTGTTTGTTATGAATACATTTGACATTTAATTCATCTGCTGATTGAGTGTTTGTAGCTAAAAATATGAATCTACTCTCAAAAATAATACCATGTTAATTGAATTTTTATTTGCCTTTTGAAATGCAATTAAATTCCCCATTTAATTGCATTTCAATGCAATTAAATTCAGTGGGGTATCTTCTGAAAATTCCCCATGCTTTCTTTCGTTGTTTATATACTGCCTCACAATCCTGGTTCCATCATGGTTTTGGATATTTTAATATACAGTTGATATTTTCACCATTGTTTATAATGTGTGTTATTCAATGGTTTTGTCTTTATTACTTTATGCTGCTCCTCTATGGGCAGTTAGTTATTATGTTAAAATGGTAGTAGTTCTTGCTTTATATTTTTGAAAAATTTTTATATGTAATAAAATTTCAGCTTATACCAAACTCCAAATGCAACATATCTAAAATATCAGTTATTATAATTAAAGCAATAATGTGTTTTTTTGGATAATGATTAAAATTATGTTAAACTAGAATATAACAAATTGTGTAAATTGTGTTCAATAATGGACAATTATATAAATAATTGGATGGTATAATTAAAAAATATATTAGAACAGAGTTCACTGAGTTTGGCATTATAAGCACTTTTTATCGCAAGTACTTTCGATGAATTTATAATCATCGTCGTCAGGCAAATAAATATAAATATTTTAAAATAATGTACAGAATATTCTGAAAAGAATATCAGAACACATTTCTTAATTTGAAAATATTTGGTAAAATTGTTAAGAACAAACATTTAATTTTTGAACATGTTTGAAGTTGTGCGTGCAATGTAATACATGTGAGAAACCAAAGGTATAGGTATGTCACCTATATCACTTACTGGCGCACGATCGTGTGATTGGCTCTCTAAACTTTTTCTAGGAGGGCGAGAAAAATGTTTATAAATGATCTAGAGGGTAAATTCTAGATCTTGTCAGGTCCTGACACCAGTTTATCTACTTTGCGTAACGCGGATAAACATGCGTGGAATTTATACCATAGATCTGATTCAGGAAACAATAATACAGAGACATCTCTTAACAAAGTATATAGAATTTAATAAACAAATAAACAATATTAATATAGAATCAGAAATAATCAATTAATTCAAAATGGTCAATCAAAGAACGAATAATCATATCAATCACGACAGGAGGAAATCTATTCTTAGTCTATAACCGAGTCAAGAGAGAATAGTATTCTCAATCTATACATTTACGAGAGAGAGAGCTCACAATTTAGTCTTAAACATATGACCTGTTTACTTGGCAGTGTCGTCTTCTTATTCGTGAAGGTACTTCATTGATAACTTAGGAGTAACTTGTTAGGGGATGACGAGGCGTTGGTCTGTTGGCATATGTATGGAGTCCTTTCCACTCTTCGATCTACGGATGAACTCTTAAGGGCGTTGGCCTTAGAGAGCGAATGTGTGGAGTCCTGACTCTTCCAGGTCTGCTGATGAACTCCCTGAATTCCGTTAATCATCCCATATATCTTCTGATTGACGACCAATTATCAGTCGAGGCTTTATCCACATGAACGGATGGGAAGGGGATGAAATGAGGGATAAACAGTTCCCATCGAAGCGAGATTTTTAGCAGATAAGGGGAAAGATAGAGAATGTTCTAACTTCCGTGGAAGGAAGTGACTCTCCTAGCTGTTTTCCCACGCTAGAAAACGTTATTTTTCCACCCAAAATGAAAGAATTTTTCATGACAAAACTTTAACATGATTTTTAAAATTATTAATTTAGACCCAGGAGCTATTCAGATATGCTGCAAAGCGGCACATGTAGATGTATGCCCACGTTAGGATATGGATGAGGATGTGCCTGCCGCAGTACATAGAATTCTACAACGGGGACCTAAATATATTCCCCCTACCAACACCAACCTTTTCCAATTAGTCCCAGCCTCATTAGCAGCACTGAAATCTTGGCAGCCACCACGTATTCTCAAATGGAATTAGCAATAATCATGAAGCTTACAGCAGCAAAACAAACATCTGGTGTGCCCAAACATCACGTGAACTACCGAGCAGTAACACACTTCCTTGTCAGGGCCAGATTGAGACTTTAAGACAAGGTCTAAGACAAAGTCTAAGAAGTTTGTACTGTGCAAAGAAGATGACTTTCTCCTCAGAGCCAATGAGTTTCTCTTGCAGTCACATTCCTCGGTGATGAGTGAAGACCCTACACCAATGATCTTATGGAAAGCAAGGAAAATCATAGCCCTATCAGGTGTAACCTCGACTCCCCCAACCAATGCTACATGTCCTAGGTTGTTCTTTGAACCAAAAATGCATATTATCGAGGTTACACCCAATAGGGCTATGATTTTCCTTGCTTTCCATAAGATCATTGGTGTAGGGTCTTCACTCATCACCGAGGAATGTGACTGTGAGAGAAACTCATTGGCTCTGAGGAGAAAGTCATCTTCATTGCACAGTACAAACTCCTTGTCCTTGTCTTAGACTAAAAGGCAAACTGGCCATTACATCCACTTGTAAACAAGAAATCTCACCCCACATACTTTTTAGAGGAGGCCCTTGCCAAGTTCCTACGTGCACTAATTCCAGATTCGCCCTATGTTACTCCTTTGTCCGTAGTCACTAAATCCTCCATTACTTCAGACATTGGTATGATACAAGCCAGCACCTACACCTTCTACAAACTAGATGTAATATGTAACAACAAATGTAATATGTAACAACAAACTAGATGTAACAACAAATGTAATATCCTTGTACCCTTCAATGCCCATGTTTGAAGCCGTAATGCTTGCCAATTCACTGCTCCTCAAAAAGGGCTTTAGTATCCGCAAGTGCTTGATATACATGATGCGCTGACATTTATCACAGCATAATTATTTCTGTTTTAATCAGAAAATTTATTTACAGAAGCAGGGGTTCCTATGTGTTCCCCTTTATCTGCTATTTTAGTGGCACTCATTATGTGTGAAATTGAGCACAGAACATCCAATTCCCCACTTGTCATCCATTACCCACTGCTGTACTTGCGTTACTTCGACAATATCCTCATAATGTAGAAGACAGACGAGACATTTTTTTTACCTTCATGCAGCAACTCTCAAGCACATATCCTTCCATCAACTTTACTTGGGAGAAAGAAAATGATGCAACAATAATGTTCTTAGATTTGTGCATACATAGAATTCCTGAATGGCCACAGTTCTTGGTTCACCACAAACCTAATATAGCACCACATATTTTCCCAGCAGATACTTTTCAGCCTTCGCAGTATGTTAACACTGTCATCACTGCCCTCATTAGAAGAGCCTTCTTACTGTCATCAATGCAAGCGCTGGTAAATATTGAATTAAATACTATTAGTCTGGCGGTACATAATGCTGGTTTCTCACATGCTAAGTTCATGCATGTGCTCAGCATGGTAAGAAAGTCCCTATTTCCAAGTACCACACTACATAATAAGAGGGAGTTTTCTGTGGTCCAACCATTATTGCCATACCTTGGACCTCCTTCCATATGTATTTGCTATATTTTTAAGCAGCATAATCTTCTCCTATCCCTTTACCACTACCAAGTCTATGTAGGCTCATCTGCAATGATAAGGATAAAATCTCTACTTTAGAAAAATCAGGGGTCTATGCAGTACTGCTGGAGAACCTCTCAACAGGAACAAATACAAAGTATATAAGGGCCACAACAAGAATGCTTGCCAGCTGCCTAGCAGAACACCAAGATGTAGTGAAGAGAAGGCACACCACAGAGCTTATAAAAAAGGTGCTCGAACAGGGTTATGACCTGCTATGGACCCAAGCTACAATGCTCAAATGCTGCAAAAATCAAAAACTTGTCTTTATATGAAAGTCCCTTCTCACAGCAACCTTAGAGGCATGCAACACCCCACTACAACCTGCCCAGTGTATGCATCATTCTGTGTAAGCAATTAAACAACAATCCTCATCTGCTGTCCCGTTACTAATGTGGGCATACATCCACGCACACGCTGCTTTACAACATATGTATTACATCGCACGCACAACTTCGAACACGTTCAAAAATTAAATGTTTGTTCTTAAGTCTTACCAAATATTTTAATTTGAAAATATATGTTCTGATATTCTTTTCAGAACATTCTGTATGTTATTTTAAAATATTTATTCGCCTGATGACGACGATTATAAATTCGTTGAAAGTACTTGTGATAAAAAAATGCTTATAATGCTGAACTCTATGACCTCTCTGTTATTCTATACAATATTTGGCATGAGTAGCAATCTATAGTACAGTGGTACCTCAGGATACGAAATTAATCCGTTCCGAAACTGAGATTGTATCATGAAAATGTTGTAAGGTGAATCATTTTTTCCCATATGATTACAGGTAACCCCCGTATAACACGGCACTTCTGTAGCACGGATTCACTCTAACACAGTTCGAGAATTGGTTAAAACCCTCGTACAACATGAAATGTAATAAATTTTTACATACTTAAGTAATAATAGTTCACGAAAATTAGTATTTTCGTGAACTATTAGTACTTAAGTGTGTAAATTTTCTCTTCTCGCCTTCTGTCGATACACGTGGTCCTTCTCGAAACTTGTTTCAATGTTGCCAGATCACAACGCTTCTGCTTCTGATGTTGCCGAATGTTTTTCCCTTATTTCATACTTGCTTTATTCTTCATAAGTACTTAGCACCATATAAGGAAATTTATAAAGATCTTTTAACTAGAAGCAAGCAATCTAAAATTACATACATTTTGCAAAAGGTAAAGCATAGATCTGAAGATAATACAGAAAAATGCTCAGAGGATAAGGATAACTTACCAAAAAGAAAACGCTCTCAGTTAATTAATAACGTTTTTAGTGATGACGAAGAAAACATTATTAAAATTTTCTTAAGTGATACATATTAATATAAATTAAACAAAGATATTTATCTTAATTATGAAAATATACTAGCATGTTTTTTAATTTTTGGAACCTAACCCTGCTTTTCGTATTAGTTCTTTGTTTCATATAACACGAATTCGCATAACACGGCAATTTTTTGGAACGTAACTACCGTGTTATACGGGGGTTACCTGTACATGTAAAACCAAATAATTTGTTCCAACACGAAAAACACACTCAAATTAAAGCTAAGTTGTATATTTAAAAAAAAAATAACTATAGTAAGGAAAACACTGAAAAATGCGTTTTGTAGTTGTAAATGTATAAATAACCATAATAGAATAATAATTGATTAAAAAAAATGTAGCTATGTTTGCACTTTACCTTTGAGGATAAACGACGGTGGAGGTGTAAACTGGTGGCAGAAGAGTGGGAGAAGGGAAATGATANCAATCTACAAAAACTTGAACTTATTAACTTTTCTTTAATGTTTATGAAATTGTCAAACACCCTATCTTGCCCCATAGGTGAGGTAAGACTAGGTGTGTTTTGGGATGATATATCAAGAGAGACAATGAAGTAACTTTGTTTTGTCACAAGATGCCATTTTGAAGTCTTGCTTAAACTCCTTGGTAATCGATGGTATTAATAAAAGATTTTATGATACTGATAGAAGGAATCAAAAATTAAGAAACTGCATTACTGACATGCATGTTTTTAAAACATAAGAAATTACATCAACATAGTTTTTGGCTGTCAAACAGATATTTGCCTCAATAGGAGAAAAACACTGAACAACAGCAATTTTAGCTACTTCTGGTATGCATATTTAGTTACAATATATACTAAGTTACATTGCTTATTAAATGCAATGCAGATAATATCCCATCTTGCTCCACCTTTCCCTACCATTAATTTTTTAAAACATGCTGTATATATCTGAAGTTTTTTCTTACAGCTTTATGTCATTCAGTTCAACCAACCCCAATGCAGAAAATTCATCATGAAACACTTCATTTAGAAAAGTGTTCAGTTTCGTTGATACATTTTCATGATTATTGGAAAGAACTTGATTTTTATATCAAAGAAATAAAATTTATTTTTAAAGATGGTTTGAAAACTAATATGAAAAAATGTTTCAAAATATCTAAGATTTTTCCAAAAGAAACTGTGAAAAGAAAAATTAATACAATGTCTTATTTGAATTTGGTAACTGAACAATTTATAAGTTATAAGTATTTTGTAAGAAATATATGCACAACTGATAAAATAGAAAAACTAACACATGTTGATGAACAAGGAAAAGCAAATATGGTTGATATCAGTAATAAATCTGAAAGTATACGAATAGCCATTGCAGAAGGAAGAGTATGTTTAGGTAATGATGCTTTTAAATTAGTAAAAGAGAATAAAATGAAAAAAGGTGATGTTTTATCAACATCTCAAATTGCTGGAATTATGGGAGCAAAGATGACTTCACAACTTATTCCACTTTGCCATAATATACCTGTTAATAAAATTGATATTGAATTTTATTTGGAATCACATACTAATGAAATAATAATAAAAGCAATGGCAAAATCTGAAGCAAAAACTGGTGTAGAAATGGAAGCTCTGACAGCAGTTTCAATAGCTGCTCTTACAGTTTATGATATGTGCAAAGCTGTAAGTCATAATATTGTGATTAAAAGTATACAGTTAATTGAGAAAACTGGAGGAAAGAAAGATTTTAAGAGAAGTGAATAAAAAGTTGCAATTTTTTGTAAATTAAACTTTTGTTTCTGAAATTCTTTTTAATATTAATATTAAAAAATACATTTATAATATAAATAACAACCCAATAATCAAGAAATCACTTTTTAAACTTTTTTAATTTTTTTTAAGTTTTAATGTTGCTAAAAAATAATTGTATAATAAAAGAGCTGTAAACAATAGAATTATGAAATACAGTAAGCTTATTTAAGTTCTACTAAAAATGAAATAAAATTCCATAACATTTAAAGATAACCTAAGAATTATGAAACCAAATACTTGTCATTTATTACATGATTGTATTACTGTAATTAATATAAATTCATCACATATGATTTCCTAACTTGTTTATTGCTGATAATGTGTAATTCAGTTTGGCATATTATTAAAAATGTAATTACCTTTATTACTTAAGTATTTGAATTTTATCTTTATTTCAGAAATACATTTAAATTACAAAAATTTTTCAGTTCTAATAACTACAAAACATTACAAATGAGCTCTGATTATCATTGAATTAAAAAGAAATTAGTGTAAAAATTTGAATTTAACAAAAAATAAATGAATGAATGAATGAATTTCCATGTTTGCTGCTGTTTTGGTTACAGCAATAACAATTTAAAATGTTGTTGTATGAAAAAACTATTTGCATTATTAATTATTTTTTTATCTAAAATGTGCAATATACATATATAAACATCTCAAAGCCTGATAATTATTAATTAGTAATAAATAATTATGTGCCTGCTGGCCTCTATTATGATTTCATCACACACCTTTCTGATTCACATCACATCTGATTTTATTCATTAATGCATGATGTTCTGGGATGTATTTTTAGTAGTGCTGCAATGAATAGTATATTTGGCCTCAGGCCGAATACCGAATATTCGGCCAGGAGTGTGGCCAAGCTTTGTCCCCCTTGGAAAATTTCTGCAGATGTCCATGACTGCACATATAATGTATTTATGTAATGTACTGTACATATTATATACATATTACATTTATAATAGTATTATATGTATATATGTAAGAGAGCATGGGGCAAGATGGGGTAGCTAAGGAACTTTTATTCTTTTATAGTTAACTATAAACCTGGGAAAACTTTGTCATTGAATGCTCAAAGATGTTTATTTCGAGTACAATCTACAAAAACTTGAACTTATTAACTTTTCTTTAATGTTTATGAAATTGTCAAACACCCTATCTTGCCCCATAGGTGAGGTAAGACTAGGTGTGTTTTGGGATGATATATCAAGAGAGACAATGAAGTAACTTTGTTTTGTCACAAGATGCCATTTTGAAGTCTTGCTTAAACTCCTTGGTAATCGATGGTATTAATAAAAGATTTTATGATACTGATAGAAGGAATCAAAAATTAAGAAACTGCATTACTGACATGCATGTTTTTAAAACATAAGAAATTACATCAACATAGTTTTTGGCTGTCAAACAGATATTTGCCTCAATAGGAGAAAAACACTGAACAACAGCAATTTTAGCTACTTCTGGTATGCATATTTAGTTACAATATATACTAAGTTACATTGCTTATTAAATGCAATGCAGATAATATCCCATCTTGCTCCACCTTTCCCTACCATTAATTTTTTAAAACATGCTGTATATATCTGAAGTTTTTTCTTACAGCTTTATGTCATTCAGTTCAACCAACCCCAATGCAGAAAATTCATCATGAAACACTTCATTTAGAAAAGTGTTCAGTTTCGTTGATACATTTTCATGATTATTGGAAAGAACTTGATTTTTATATCAAAGAAATAAAATTTATTTTTAAAGATGGTTTGAAAACTAATATGAAAAAATGTTTCAAAATATCTAAGATTTTTCCAAAAGAAACTGTGAAAAGAAAAATTAATACAATGTCTTATTTGAATTTGGTAACTGAACAATTTATAAGTTATAAGTATTTTGTAAGAAATATATGCACAACTGATAAAATAGAAAAACTAACACATGTTGATGAACAAGGAAAAGCAAATATGGTTGATATCAGTAATAAATCTGAAAGTATACGAATAGCCATTGCAGAAGGAAGAGTATGTTTAGGTAATGATGCTTTTAAATTAGTAAAAGAGAATAAAATGAAAAAAGGTGATGTTTTATCAACATCTCAAATTGCTGGAATTATGGGAGCAAAGATGACTTCACAACTTATTCCACTTTGCCATAATATACCTGTTAATAAAATTGATATTGAATTTTATTTGGAATCACATACTAATGAAATAATAATAAAAGCAATGGCAAAATCTGAAGCAAAAACTGGTGTAGAAATGGAAGCTCTGACAGCAGTTTCAATAGCTGCTCTTACAGTTTATGATATGTGCAAAGCTGTAAGTCATAATATTGTGATTAAAAGTATACAGTTAATTGAGAAAACTGGAGGAAAGAAAGATTTTAAGAGAAGTGAATAAAAAGTTGCAATTTTTTGTAAATTAAACTTTTGTTTCTGAAATTCTTTTTAATATTAATATTAAAAAATACATTTATAATATAAATAACAACCCAATAATCAAGAAATCACTTTTTAAACTTTTTAAATTTTTTTTAAGTTTTAATGTTGCTAAAAAATAATTGTATAATAAAAGAGCTATAAACAATAGAATTATGAAATACAGTAAGCTTATTTAAGTTCTACTAAAAATGAAATAAAATTCCATAACATTTAAAGATAACCTAAGAATTATGAAACCAAATACTTGTCATTTATTACATGATTGTATTACTGTAATTAATATAAATTCATCACATATGATTTCCTAACTTGTTTATTGCTGATAATGTGTAATTCAGTTTGGCATATTATTAAAAATGTAATTACCTTTATTACTTAAGTATTTGAATTTTATCTTTATTTCAGAAATACATTTAAATTACAAAAATTTTTCAGTTCTAATAACTACAAAACATTACAAATGAGCTCTGATTATCATTGAATTAAAAAGAAATTAGTGTAAAAATTTGAATTTAACAAAAAATAAATGAATGAATGAATGAATTTCCATGTTTGCTGCTGTTTTGGTTACAGCAATAACAATTTAAAATGTTGTTGTATGAAAAAACTATTTGCATTATTAATTATTTTTTTATCTAAAATGTGCAATATACATATATAAACATCTCAAAGCCTGATAATTATTAATTAGTAATAAATAATTATGTGCCTGCTGGCCTCTATTATGATTTCATCACACACCTTTCTGATTCACATCACATCTGATTTTATTCATTAATGCATGATGTTCTGGGATGTATTTTTAGTAGTGCTGCAATGAATAGTATATTTGGCCTCAGGCCGAATACCGAATATTCGGCCAGGAGTGTGGCCAATTAGCCGAATATTCGGCCAAACTATTCGGCTTGATTAATGCATGTACAAAAATTGGCTTGCAAACCGCATTATGGCAAGGACCCTGCTGTCACTATGCTTCGCCAATCACGTTAATTCTTGACAGTTGAAGTGGACAGATACGAGTGTCATGGCAATATGTGATAAATGATGATATCAAATGTGGATAACAATGAAATGACCTACACGTGCAAATAACAGAAAAAGAACAGAGAAGGACCGCAAAATGAAAATGTGAAAATAAATATGAAATCGAGTTGATAACATAATCGAACAAGTCGAAGCAGCTTATTGGCGCGAAATTCACAGCCATCAATGCCAAACAATTGTTGTCATAGACTTCAGAAAGCTAAATGCTTGTAATGAAAGTCACTTAGCATGCTCGGGCGAAAGCCTGGGGCCATTCAAGCTGCCAAGCTGTCTCGAATCTGTGAAATCATAACTGTGACTTATACTGACGTCCTGTCTCTTTTCTCCGTTATCACCAGGCTATGAGTCACATAATTGTAAAATGGGAAATCTATGATGAAAAAGTGATGAATTGAAAGTATCGTGAGTGCGTATTATGATGTATGCATAGGCATACGTGGTCTAGAGAGATAGAGGAAAGAGAAAGGAAAGAGCAAAGACGAGCACTTAAAAAGGATAGACAGGGTCAGATCCTCAGATGTGTGCGACGATTCTTGAACGAATAGGTGTATATGTGTGCTGATATTTGTAATTATAAATTGTAAATACATGTGACTAATATTATTTTTCTTTTATTTTGTGCATGTTATAAATTATAAATAAATATAAACAAACAACACTAACCCAATAACATAAAATCTAAATACCAAAATGATTAATTTACTGTGTTTTTATTTCTTACTCCTGTTTTTAGGTATTCGGTATTTGGCTGAATAGTGATTAAATATTCAGTATTCGGCCGAATAGCGAAAAATAGGCTGAATACCGAATAGAACCGAATATTCATTATATCACTAATTTTTAGCTTATTTAACAAACTTCTTCAGCCAGGTTTCATATATACATTTCAACAGCATGGTATTATAATTAAAATACATATAAAAGAATTTAATAAATTAAAATAAATATACAAATAAACTGAAATTTATATCACTATATAATTGACTACATACAACATTATAATAATTATAAAAGACATTCATACAAATTGATATTAAATTGCCAAACACTGTAACCAGGGGCAGATCTACATAGGGTTAATAGGGCTTAAGCCCTGGGCTCCCAAGAGTCAAAAGCCCACAAGTTGAATTATCATCATAAATTTTTAATACTTTTAAAAATTTTTACTTTTCATTAACAATGAGCACTTATCATATAGTAAAAAATAGTTACTATAAATTTTGTTATATTATTAATATTATTATTTGTATTAACAAAAAATGGTGCCCCATTGGACCTCAATAAGCCCTAGGCCTCGAAAAACCTAGATCTGCCCAACTTGTAACAATACTTAAAATTTAATTCTATACCTCCACATATGCTGTTGTGTGTTATTCAGTTCTCGATGGTGTTTTCATATTGGCATTTTAATTATAATACCATATTGTCAAAATATATACAAATTGCATTCTGGGACATCATGCATTAATGAATAAAAATTGGAAAGGTGCATGATGAGTCTGAACTCATTTACAGAGGCCATTGGGCTCATAGTTATTTATTACTAATAGATAGCAGACTAGAAGCTTATATCAATCCAATAATTATATTAAAGTCAAATGTTACACATCCACCAAAGCCAAATATTATTGGGCTAGAAATGGCTATAATACTAATAATTTAACACAAATTAATAGCTATAGACAATTTAATAGACAATTTAAATTAATGGCTATAGACAATTTGGCATTATGCCAAATTATTTATTAAATTGTCTATAGCCATCTCTAGCTTGATAATATTTGGCTTTGGTGGATGTATAGCTTTAAAACATATCAGGTGTAGTAAGGATGTTTGATTAAAGCCAAATGATTGCTGGATTAAATTGGTAATGCCACCTAATTTAATCTGGAAATCATTTGGCTTTAATTAAAATGTGCATGATGAACCAGTCAAAATGGAGTTAAAATTATTTTAGTCAAAATCTAGAGAAAGACACTTTTGATCCCAAGGCAATAACTAGAATAAATTCTGCTTATTTTAAGTGACCATCATTTGTCAAATATTGTATATTTATCATTTTTTGTAGATATTGTATATAAAGAAATTACTAACCTTTGGAGAAATTAGATTTTTAAACATTTTGATCCTATATTACTTCACTAATCAAAACACCTGACATTACATGGAAAAATACTGGAGATGCTATTATTGGTTGAAATTTTGATATGGCTGGATAATGGCATGTAATATACAATGCATATAGATGGTTACAACATTATGTTTTGATTTCAACATTCTGTAGAAGTTTTAAGAGTATACAATACCAAAATAGTTAGACTCAAGCCGAAACTACCAGATTCCTTTTGAGATGATATCTGGGTATTGACCCAGAGAGAGAGTTCAAATCTGAGTTAATCTCTTCATTTTCTAAATTATTTAATTTCTAATTGTTGAGCTACACTCTTGCATGAATTAATTGCCATTTTAGTACAAATTCCAATGTTTAATGAAGATTAAATGTTGGAATTTTATTCATTACTTTCAATATAACTCAAGAAATAATCTGGCAATTTAGGGTAAGTTTAATTCATGATGCTAAACACTTAAGAACTGTTTGATGGTGTTAATTTACTAAGAATAAATACATTTAATAAACTACATAAATGTTTTTCACATATACAAAAATGTCTTTTAGAAAGATTTTAAAACAAGAAAATATTTTAAATCTCACATTTGAGTAGTTTATTAAATGTGTTTATTCTTTGTAAATTAACACCATCAAACTGGATTTCTTAACTGATTGCAAAATAATGATGGTACAAAGACAATCAAGATGATTAATAAACATCTAGGACGAACCTAACTAGAAATCAAGCTAAGAGTCCCTAATCTAACTTACAACTAGGACTAACTTAAATTAACTGAATTTAGACCGAAAAGAAGACGGAAAGTAGAATTAAAATACAAAGTTGAAAGGTAGCTTTATACCGACAGTTGAAACAAAGCAAGGGAAAGCTAATTGCCATCTGTGCCCCCAGAGAGAGAGAGTGCTCCCAAGAGCACTCTCTCTCTCTGGGGGCACAGATGGCAATTAGCTTTCCCTTGCTTTACTAAGGGATATGAATGCAAGTAGATGATGGAACATTGTATGCATGTGAATGAGATGGTGCAGGTTGCACGGCCAGTTGTACCCTTCAAGAATAGCAGTTCTTGTTAAACTATCCCTAATGTGATTGTACCTATTGCAGCAAAATACTAAGTGAAGTGGTGTTTAGTCCTCCTGAATACCACAATCGCATTGTGGATTGTCACCAAGGTTAAATCTATGTAAGTATTGCTTAAAGTTGCCGTGTCCTGTAAGTAGCTGAGTGAGGGTGTAACTAGGGTAAAAGTGGTGAAGAATCACAGTAGTGTGAACCTTGGGGATGAAAGTGTAGGTGAGCCTACCAGTGGTGTTAGATACTTATCAATATAGGGAATATTAGTCAATGTGGTTCCTATTCTAAAGGTATAAAATCTGATAACAATGAATATTGTGTTTGACAGCTGACCATAATTTGACCATTGTGATGCTTCTTACTTCAGCAGCCCTGTCATTTCTGGGCTGTCAAATTTGTGTCCTGGGTAAACCACACTTCTTTAATATCCTCACAAATGAAAATCATTTTTTTTTTTATTGTTTGTAGTCCCTTAGTGTTAAATTTGGTGCTAGTTTTTTTTATGAAAATTTCTGTATATCCTGAAATGTCATCTTGCCAAATTTGGTCTAGACCAGTAATTCTCAAGCTTTTTTGAGCCCCTGCCTCATTGGTTCCATAAACTAATGCCCTTAGTTTCATATACCAATATCCCCTAACCCATTTTCCTTATGTGAAAAAGGCTTGAAATATTCTTAGAAAACTTTTCTATGAAACTCACATTTTGTATCCTTACCATACATTGTTCTCCACATCTGGAAACCATTAAATGCAATGTTTCTTCTTACCCATTTTATAAGAGGAAAGGGAAAGGTTGTCAATG